CCTTTCGTTCTCTCCATTTTCCTCTTCCTCGCTTGGATCTCTCTCCGTTCATATCGTACTTCTCATTCTCTTCATCTCTCTTCCCCAAACGACGACGTTAAAGCCAATCTCCGTAGATTCTCCGCCCATTTCCCTTCCCCTATTACGAAGGATAACCGTGGTTGGATTCTCGACCCTATCGCTCTTGCAGCTTCTTCCAGCCTTTCAGGTACTTCGTTTTTGTTCTATATTGCAATTTGTGAAACTGGATGTAACTGACGATGATGATTGTTTGAAGGTGGAGCTGTTACTTGTGCTTCTCTTCATCTCGGGGAAATTCGACCGGGGAAGTTTAGAGGAAACCATAGACACCATGATTGTAACGAGACTTTTGTACTTTGGGGTGCTGCTATCAAGTTTAGGGTATGTTTCTCTTCTTACAAAAAAAATCAAAGTAAATGATTTTTGAATTTAACTCATATACATTGTTGATCTAGAAAGGTTTTACATATGCATCTAATCCTATTTCACTGTTATCTCACTTACATTAGTTATTCCTAGTGCCGTCTCAATTTTTTCGGAGGTCCGGTGTAGATTAGTTGAAGTTTAGTTATGGAAAAACAAATATAGACCCTATCTAATCATTGTTTAATCATTATAAACATTTTATGAGGCCTTATTTAGCCACGGATTAACTGGAACACATTTTAGGCCACGTTTTGCACGCCCTCAAAAAAGACGACCTTGGTTATACCGATTTAACTCAATTTTGTTAGTTTCTGACGACATTCTAATTGCTTGAAGTGTTTTTTGTTCCATATGTCAACCATTTCCTTTTCTGTTAAGAGTTCCTTCAATTACTTTGAAATAGTTTGTTCTTATTTATTCTGTGAGGTTGCTGAAAATATTAGAGAGAGTGTTAGTAGAGAAGATGGTGGAAAATAGACTTAGGTGGTTTGAGCGATATGTAGAGAGAAGATATGTAGATTTTGTGGTAAGGGAAGTAAATTAGATGGAGAGAAGTCAAACAACTAGAGGAAGAGGAAGACCTAGAAAAACTATAAGAGAAGTTATTAAGAAAGATCTCGAGATTAACGATTTGAGTAGAAATATGGTCCTGAATAGATCATTATGGCAAAAGTTGATCCATGTAGCCGATGGGATAAGGCTTGGTTGTTGTTGTTCGGTTGCTGACATTAACTTGTCGTGTACTTGTGTTCGCTTAAGTCACTGTTTGATTAATGTGTTTGATTTGATGTTATATTGGGCATGTATGCTGCATGCTATTCAACTTAATATTTACATTGAACTAAAAGGCTTGGTTCTGCTGGAAGTTAAGTAAGAAAGAGTTGTTGTTATCATATCATCATCACATGTAATGTTGACATACACAGTCATGTAAGTGAAGTGTTGTTGATACTTGAGACGAAGTTTCTTTTGCATGTTTTTTGCATCCCCTCTTAAACTAACTGAACATCTTTTATTAGTTTGGAGGTGGAATTAGCATTAACAACTTAAGAAAATGGCACGGTTTTTAGATGCATATTTTTCTTTTTTGTGGCGGTAAGGTAATGAGGAGTGTGCATGTGCAAATTTCACTTCCTTGCAAAAACAATATCCTGACTTTGCGAAGTTAAATTTATTATTGTTTCTTATCTTTTGGGAATGTTGTGCTTAAATCAGTCACAGATACTGGGTTCTCAATTGTATCGAAGAAAAAGTTCTATTGTAATAATAATACTAAAATAGATTGGTGAATGTTCATTTTCTCTAGCCAATTTATAAGTTGGTAAACACTAAAGTATCAATAATATAGACTCTATAGAGTGGTTCTAACTTATGGCATCATTCTTAGAAGGATGCAGATTTCGCTAAACTGCTACCTGGAACTAGGATGTGTTGATGCGGTACTTATGAGTAAAGCCAACAAGAAAAGGGAATTGCTTTCATATAGTTCTACTAATAGCTGTTTATTTGAACAGAAGTAAAGAGATAACTGTTTATTTGAACAGAAGCAAAGAGATAGCTGTTTATTTGAACAGAAGTATAGAGATGCTCGTTGATGAGTGTATTCTAGATTAATTATAGTTTCAAGTTCTAACTTTTAAGAAAAAAGATGACAATTCTTCTTTATATAATTAAGTATTAATTATTTTAGTATTTATTGACAATAATATTAATAGCATTGCAATTGATAAGAAGTCTATTTCATAAATTGAAATGATAAGAAGTCTATTTCATAGATTGAAAAGGATTGGTTGAGAGATTAAATACAGAAGAGAGATCATTTTTTGAATTTTTGTTTTTGTCCCATTGCCCGCACTCCATCCGCTAGGCTACTTGACAAAAAAAAGAAAACTAAGTCAAATACTAGCATTTCCATCATTCTCATATACTCTCCCTCACCATCTCTCTCTTTACTCAACTATCCCGCCCCTCTCCAACCTTTCAATGGTTATGCTCCAACCGATGCGCCACAAATGCATGAAATACTTTTTGGGAAACAATGTGAAATAAGTTTGTAGTATGCTTGATTTCATCTTAATAGTGGCTTTTTGTTATTGGGTGTAGAGAAGCTAAAAATTTTGAAGGTTAACTCAATGCAAGTATCTCTTATATTATTTCTTTATTTTCAAAAAATACTATGTTGGGACAAATAGAGTTCAAAACCAATGATTCTCTACTTAACACAAAAAAAAAAAGTTGTACATGTGCGGGAACATTTATAATATAATATAATATAATACGATTTAAATGTCCACGTACACGTATAATATTTTTTCTTTGTAGAGTGTATTTTTTGAAAATAAAGAAATCATATCAAATACACTTACATTGAGTTAACCGTTAACTATGCCCAAGGATACGATGACACTATTAAAGTGACATCAAACATACTACAAAGAAAACATGAAAGAAGAAATACAAATTTCTATTGTCCTCCATTTGAAACTACATTTGCCATCTCCACCTCTTCTTCTCTGTAGATCAATTTTGTACACGATCATCGTGATAATGGCAATTGGAATAATCCATTTGGTGAAATATTTTCCACTTGGTTTCCCAAAAAATCTTTCATGCGTTTTTGGCGCATCAGTTGGAGGGATAACCATTGAAAGGTTGGAGAGGGAGGGGATAGTCGAGTAAAGAGAGAGATGGCGAGGAGAGAGTATATGAGAACGATGGAAATGCTAGTACTTTACTTAGTTATATATAGGAATAGTGATTAGAACGCTAAGTTACTTACAAATGAAACAATTTGATTGGGTTAACATTAAGTTAAGCATTTTGGAAATTAATTTGATTATTGCAACTTTTTACTGTAGAAAATAAATAGCCATTAGTACACCTCAAGCTAATTACCTGGAGTGTTCTGTAGGCAAAATTAGGGTTCTCAAAAGTTATACAGCTCTAAAAATACGGTTCCATTGAAATGAAGATTTTTTTTTTTTGGATTTAAAGGTCACTGTCAAAATCTTGAGTTCACAGTATCTATAATTTGCAGGTAGAAAACAGTGCGGTAACTGATATTGGTTATGCTGAGGTGACCATAGCCAGAGATGAGGTTATTGTTGCTGCCAGCCCTGCTCACACAGCCCATGCTTTAGTGAACATAGATCCGGTTCGGAGTGCGTTCTTTATAGGATGCCAAGATAGTACCATAAACTATAATGCCTCAAGTACGGACTTTAATGTTTGGAAAGATCTTTGAAGATGTTACTCTGTACAGACAGGTTCACACATCACATTCCTCTTGTTGAAATCTAAGATGTTGCTAAGTCTTAATATTACTACGATTTTGTTGCCACACAGAATGAGAAAGTTTTAACTTTTAGATGCCTATATAATGTACAAAGCTTAGTTGCAAACTCAGAGTATGAGCTTTTTATAGGGTTGCAAAACAGAACAACAGAACGAAAGGAGGTCAGTTTATGCCTTGGTTTATTAAAGAATGGAGGAAAAAATTTATGCCCAGTTCATTAACTTTGTACTGATTGTAAAGAAGCAACATGATTTTTTTACATCAAGTTATCTCCGTTAACTCTTAAATTTTAATTGGTTAACTAAGATATTGTTAACTCTTAAATTTTGATCAAATTCCATATGCATTGTGGATGTTGGCCATTATGTGTAAATATCTATTATCATTACTCATCCAGACAGTGAAAGAAATGATGTTGGTGTTTATCAATATTCAGTACTATTTTATAGGGTACAATTCTTATCTTCTATTTTGTTTTTTTACTGGAAACTGAGTTTGGCTAGTCTGCTGCAACGGAGTTTCTGTACAATGCCTAAACAGAAATCAGTTTACTACAATGCTAGTCTGCTTTTCATAAACGTCTGTATGGTGAAAGTTTCGTCGCAGTAGATAGTCCTTTTTTGACACCGCCGTTGTGGTTTTGAGGTTGTTATTGTGGCAATGTTTGGTCTTGTGTTGGAACTTGTGGTTTTGGCATTCCTTGTACCATGTCCACCTTTAACAGCACATTACTTATTTATTTGCTTTAGCCAAAACAATTTTGAACGAGGGAACACGTGAAGTGCCTATAACTTGCAAGAAAAGAACTACACTGGGTGTCACTTCTACGCAAAGACTGTTTGTTCCTAGAGCCCAGAAATAGAAGTCATTGGATTTGTGATGAATAATTGAATACTAAAAACAAAAAAGGAAGCTCAAATCATATGAACTTTGAAATCAAACACAACAATGTCATGTTCAAATATCCAAGTCCTAATTTAATATTTCAAAAATAGAAATTTTGTTCACCTACAATTATGCCTCACAAGCAACAATTTCAAGTCCTAATTTTAATATTCCATCGCTTGAAAGCCAATACAATTGTGAAATGTCACATACCGTTGCTTAAGGCAAACCCAAAAGTAATGAAATTGCCACCCCTAAAGAACTATAAAAGAGACCCTAAATAAATGAGCCTATAGACTTAAAATTTGTTAATAAATCTTTTGATAAACTTGCTTTTAGAGTTCAAATATTTGAAGCCATTGCAAATTGCAACATGGATGGGAAAAACAAGAGGCTAGCAGTTTTGGTAGGATGCAATTACCCAAACACTCCAAATGAATTACATGGTTGCATAAATGATGTGTTGGCTATGAAGGAAACATTGGTGAAGCGATTTGGTTTCGATCATTCCAATATCGAGCTTCTCACCGATGATCCTATAAGTTCTTCATCAACCATGCCAACTGGTGCTAATATTAAGCAAGCATTATCTAACATGGTTGATCGAGCTGAATCAGGGGATGTTCTTTATTTTCATTATAGCGGACATGGAACTAGGATTCCTTCAATGAAATATGGACATCTTTTTCGACATGAAGAAGCTATTGTACCTTGTGATTTCAACCTTATCACAGGTTTGTACCAACTTCTTTTTCGATGAAACGCGAAATTGTTGGTATCAAACAATTTAGTATTAAAACTAACAAACTTTTATTTTAATTATTGTGATATACAGATTTGGACTTCCGGCAAGTCGTGAATCGGATTCCGAAAGGATCGAGCTTAACAATTCTCTCTGATTCATGTCATAGTGGAGGCCTAATTGACAAAGAAAAAGAACAAATTGGACCATCCAAATTGGAAGAACAAAAGAATGCCACATTGAAACAAACTCATAATAAACCAAAAACCATTCCTTATGAGTCAGTACTTCAATACCTCTCATCATTAACAAACATAAACACAACAGACATTGGAACTCATTTACTCGAATTCTTCGGCTCCGAAGCAAGTATGTTGTTTCAGCTTCCTTTACATGATCTCGATTTGTTCCAACCTTTGAAACCCGATGAAGGGATTCTGTTAAGTGGTTGTCAATCTGACGAAACTTCAGCGGATATGAGTCCGAATATGAGTAATGGAAAGGCTTATGGAGCATTTAGCAATGCAGTTCAGATTGTGTTGAAGGAAAATAATGGTAAATTGAGTAATAGAGAGGTTGTGATGAAGGCTAGAGATTTTCTACAAAGACAAGGATTTGTGCAACATCCTTGTCTTTATTGTAGTGATGAGAATGCTGATGATGTCTTCTTGTTGCAATCTTAGGACTCAGGTTTGTGATATTTATGTTGTTCATATTTGTAACATTGAATGGATTTTATGTTGTTCAAATTGAACTATTTGTGTTGTTTTATGTTGTTCATATTTGTAATGTTGTATGAATTTTATATATGAAATAAATGGAAATAAGTTTTAATTATTGAACAAAACATTGTCAAAATATGAGATTTAAATTCATTTTTATATGTTGGAAAGTTTCCAAAAGTGAAGCAATTTTACATTCATAATAAATAATGTGATTAAATATATCCATATATTTAATGGAGTCACTTTCATTATCATCGTCACCACACAATTTTATTTTATTTTGCCTTTTGAAAATGCAATATTTATAATCATTCATTGCTGGAATTGGATATTTCTTATGAATTTCAAACTATGAAAAAGGCATATTTACATTCATTAAGCCACTTTTGTTTGTGATATTTAAAGTTGTCATATTGTTCGTGGTCAACGCCAAGGTTGTTGTGCCAATCTAATACTTAGTATGTTATTTTCATTAATTTTTTTAATAAACTTTACATATTGTTCAATTTAAGAATCAAAATTGATTAGTTGAAGATAGGCGTTTTTAAATCTCTGGTGCTGATCTCCGACGTGGTCAGGCATGATGGACATATAAAGTTAACACTCAAACACTCAAGAGTCTAAAATAAATATAGTAAAATGTAGATATCAGAAAAATGTACATTGAATCTCACGTGTGCTGACATTATACGATGGATTGTTTTTATTGGGCTTGCATTTGGTTGGGCCTTTGAACAACCCAGAATATTTGCCCTCAAGGCTTTGACAAGTGAAAACCAATTGAAGTCTTTGAAGTCGTGACTGACTTCTAGCAATGGTGTCTGACCTTGGAGAGTAGCAGAAACATTTTGGATCAGCTACGAAATTAGTGGAGAACAAGCATATTAAATCCTTTTCCATCATTGAAATGTTTCACCAATTTTTTTCTACGCATGGTTTTAGGTGATCAGCTTATGGTATGATGCTTCCTCCTAGTGCACTTGAATGCACTTGAGTTCGTTTATATTCCCTAGGCAAAATGTAGCCGTTGATCTTGTAACTTCTCGTTCTTGTTGATTTGGTCCATTGATTATCTTCTTCTATATATAAAGGTTTTCGAGCTTTGAGAGAACTTTTCGCTCTTCTTAAAAATCAATTTATGCTTGAGAGCATCTTTTATCATTCCTCTCAAGAGTATTTCATAGAGTGATTTTTATTTTTTGAACAAAGCTTCCACTCTCCCATTTAAACTTCGTCTTTCTTGCCATATTCTACTTCTCCCTAGTATCCTTCATGCCTTAAGCTTTCCCATATTCATTATTTTCTTTATCATAGCCAATATGAACGACATCCCTATTATTTTGTCTAACAATTCTGATAGTGATGATTCCTTTCCCTTAGTTAGGACAGAAGTATTTTCTAGTCCAAATCCTTCTTGCTTAATCACTAATCAATCAACCTACAAGGTCATATATGTAACTCAGGATTCTGACTTGAAGAAGATCTCTAGAGGCTTTTCGGAAAAGGAAGCTTATTCCAGTGATTCTTTTCCCGGAGCTTTTTTTTTATGAAGATGTAGAAGATGATTGCGAAATCACTTCCGAGTCTGTTTCCTCCTAAGTAGCAGGAACTTTGACTTCACCTGCTTTGCTGACTCCAAAAATGGAGGTTACTATTCTTAAGAGGAAGAATGCCAAAACTTAAGTTAAAGCTTAAAGAAAGGCATGTGGTCACAAGTCACGACCCTACTGCTATCGACATCAAGGAACATCTAGAATGCGGAGCCCGACCAGATGACGTTAGCTCGCTTAATCCCTTAGATATCTATAAGGCCGATGAGTTATCTTTGAAAAGGCCTACGTTGGTGGAGTTGGACGATGCAAGACAATACATTTGGGTGGACTTAGAGATAGTAGGACCCCCCTCCATTTTAAGTGATCAGGAAGCTGTTAGTGCGGCCAACGTCATGGTCGGTCGTCCTTTTGATTGCCCAGTCCTTCTGGTGGATCCGGAAAAAAAGATATGCACCATCTTTGAAGGGTGTTATGTTCCTTTTTAAGAGTGTTTATTCACCATGATAAACCAACGGTTGCCTCTGTCTGAATTTGTGGTGGAAGCGCTGAAGTACATGAAGGTTATCCTTCTTAGCTTCAGTAGGGTTCTTGGGTTCTTGAGATTTCACAAATGTGTTCCAATTTTGGGCTAAACACAAGTCTTAGAAACCCTCATATTAACTTGATCTTACCGGACCAAAAAAAGATCAGCAGTCAGCAACGCGTCGTGAGCTCCTAGTTCGCCGGTGGTGGAGAAGATGATGGAGGTGTACCTGCAAGACACTCTGATGCCAAAGTAAGGAATGAAGCAAAGAGAGCAAGTACAAAGAGTGTAGAGAATAAAATATCTGACCCTCTAGTGAAAGAGGGTATTTATAATATGCCCCCAGCGCTAGGCCAACAGTTATTTTACATTGGGTTGGATTACAAGGCCTAATACAAATAATTGCCAGGACATACGTGGCGTAGGGGAAGACCACCACGTAGTCTTGATTCTGGTCCAACTGTCCCATGATCTCTGGAAGATGGGTGACCTTCCCTTTTGGACGTGGGTAGTTTTCTGATGACGTGTCCCCACATGGAGAACACGTGGAGAACGTGGGGGAGACACGTGAGAGCTTCCCATGCGAAATGATGATATGAGCCTTCATTGGACCCTTCCAACGAGGAGTTGGTTGGGCCGTGCTCAACTGTGGGCCAGCCTCTGGCCCAGTCTAGAACATGATTGTTCTTCAATTTGTTCACATTAATACATACTTCTAGTACAATATCCAATATCAGGGACTTATTGAGCTATGTCATCATGTTCCCTTGTTTGACCCTTTCTTTGAAGACTGAGGCAACTTTCTAGGGAACTCTGTGCTGATGTGGCCCCACACTTGGAAAGCTCACTTTGCATTATTCTTTGGACCTATTGAATCTCCTTGCCTTTATAAAGGTATGTTTCTAAAATACTGGGCTTGACCTCACTTCCATCATGAGCCTCATTTGTATGATGTCAAACATGACTCTCTTACTATTGAAGAAATTATGATTAAGAGGGATCTAAAGTCTCTCTACTGTAGACATGGTTGTGAGGAGGGGTTTGAACCCATGAAAGCGTCATTTTCCTATCATAGGAAGAGATCCATTGATACCCATGCCATTGTTAGTGCCTCCGGCCGCCTAGAGAGGAAAGGAATCTTTGGTGAGGATATATGTTGGTCGTTTTAGAATTGACTATATTATGAAAAACAACATGGAGTTTGCTCAAGATGGTCCTGGTGCAGAAGGGACACATGCTGAACACGATGCTCTAACATGTGGGCTGTAACATCTAATCTCTTGGAAAAAAACAGATGAAAATTGGAGTTGGTTTAAATTTCTTCTATAAAAGATTCTCTCCACAATAGAAGATCTGTAAGTTAAGGAGAAAAGTTGGTTTTGATGTACTGGTGCAACATGCTGGACTCGATGTTCCAACATGTTCCGTACAACATGTGGCCTTGACAATAAGCCATGTTGGATGCTGTTTGATGCATATTTTTGACTGGTTTTTAATCAGATTTAATGTAGTAATTTTAGCAATGTTTGGTTGATTTGTTTGACAGAGAGAGATGTTCAAATCATATTTAAATGTGTATCTTTTGTATCCAACACTGAAGTGGGTAAAGATTAAAGTGATAAGGATACTGAAGAAGACTTGTCAAATGCTATAACTTATGTGGGAAGAAAGTTCAACAATTCTTTAAGAAGGCTTGGTAGATATTGGAGGAAGAATATGCAAGACATCATGTCCAACATTGGTTCCCAAAGGAAGAGCTTAGAAGAAGACAAAGGTAAGGGATTTAGATGATTTGAATGTGAAGGCTTTGGTCACATCAAAACTGAATGCCCTACTTTTCTAAAAAATTAGAAAAGAGATTGAGAATCACTTGGTCTGAATTTGATGATAGTGAAGGAGATACTGCCAGCAAAGTAATGATTTTCATTGGAAAATATGAGTCTAAGGAAGAATATTGCGATGAAGACATGTTTGAAGAAAGGCTAGCTGAAACCTTCAGACTTCTGCACACCAAGTGGAAAGAAGCTTGCACTACAACTGAGAGTTAAAATAAAACCATAGGTGTGCTTAGTTAAAAAAAAAGAAGAAGAGTTTGTCTAAACTGTCTCGGTTCTAGAAGAAGAAATCACCTTGCTGAATGCTAAACTAGAACCTGTGATGAATAACAGTTCTAATATGTTGGATGATGTCTTGGAAGCGAATATGAAATTTGTAGGGTTTGACTACAATTCCATGAACAGAAAGATCAAATGTTCTTCAAAAAATAAGTATGAATTTCAAAAGGTGAACGACATGCCTCAACATCATGCTCGACAAGTGTACTCTCATCTCAGAGGTTTTAACAAATACGCACAGAAATGTCACCTCTCTAGTAGATATGGTCACATAAGACCTTTTTGCCACAGATTTTATGGATATCCCAAATCCTATAGCCAACCTAGGCTAAACAAAAGGAAAAGGAAGAAAACTCTAACAAAGAAAGTGTGGAAACCCAAGGAAACTGTTAAGTGTCTCTTAGCACATGATTTTCCTAGAGTCTCTTCAAGAAATAATTTGATTTTTTATATAGTGGATGCTATTAGCACATGACTGGTGAAAGGGGATATATTGAAAATGTTTAAAAAACACTCTAGAAGTTATGTAACTCTTGGATATGGAACTAGAAGAAAAATCAAAAGCATAGGAAAACATCGTTGTACTGGTCACCTTAGCCTCAATGATGTTTTACTGGTAGAAGGATTAACTACAAAATTGATTAACATAAGTCAAATTTGTGATCAAGGTTTAAATATGAGATTTAACAAGATTGAGTGTATTGTCTCCAGAAAAAGTCAAGAAGAAACAATGAATGGCTCAAGATCCATAGGAAACTGCTCCATGTG